TTCCTTATTCAATTCGATATTTGTTACATTCGATGATTCAGATTTTTTAACGTCCCATTCTTGCACGGGCCTCCCTTTAATACGAGGGGGATCAGGCCATAGTCCACTACGCTGGCTATATGCGGGTTGGCGGACTTCACATGTCTTTCGAAAACTTGCTAGGTTCTCTCAGAGATGCAGGTTTCCTCACGATGTTTTTCTTCACCGTAAGGCACCACAACCATATACATGGACAAAATGTCCGTGATGCCTACAACACTAAAAAACTATCTATCCTTTATTTAAAGATAAGGTATTTTTAAATTTCTTCCATGGAGCTTACCTCAATTATTAAGGAACTCTTATACAAAGTTTGATGATTCTAGAACCACCGATTTTGGCTGTAATAATACGTACGTGTAATAACAATACGCTTGAACGAGAAATTCTCTTTTATTACTTAAATAGAAATAAATTTCAAATTATGTGGAGCTAAATCTATACATATAATAAAATTGTAACTAAGCCGAATCTGTACATTAAATATTTTTTGGAAAATCTTATTGAAATAGACATTATTATCGATACAGAGGCCGAGGTCTGTCTGTCTGTCTGTCTGTCTGTTACCGCATCACGAGAAAACCACTGGAGGGATTTTAATGAAATTTGGTATGGTGATAGCTGGTTATCCGGGTCAACATATAGTATACTTTTTATCGCGGGAAAATATCTCATTTCTGAGAAAAAATGCAAATACTGCAATGTAAGACTAATATGTAAAATCTAAGAATATGGTTTTTGGTCATCTGAACGCGGGCGGAGCCGCGGGCAATGCTAGTAATGAAATAAAATAACATTCTGCGTAGTTTAAAGAGTAAATCTATTTAAACGCTTAAAAAGACCGCGTGGAATGTACCCGCGTATTTCAATTATACAAGTAAGTTAAAGCTCTTAAAAGCTCAACAGGTGTTGTTTTCTATTTTTCGGCAAATTATTTTCCTTTTCATCGTTATTTTGTTCGGATTTTTATATTTATAACGAAAAAATAAGATATTTTTTTCTATTTAATAACGTATAAGATGAAAAACCCATAATCTTTGACATTAAAATAATCGTGGAAAAACAATTATAAAATTGAAATAAGAAAAAAGACCTTAAAAATTTTCATTTTTCGAAGTTTGACTATACTTTAAATACTTTAAAACTCAAATAAGTTAATTTTCAATAGGAAAAAATCCTTAAAGTAAAACTAAAACAAAAAGAACATATATATATATATATGCGATTATAGCTTTATAGACTTTGGAGTCGACCAATAGCTAGAATAAAGGAATAGTATTTTAGGACTTAATAGTGCTAGATCATAGCTAAAACGCTCTCTTGAGAAACCAAATAGTGAAGTTCTAGATAATGCTCTTATGTGCAAATAATTTTCAATGGTTAGTGTAGGGCCATCAAATTTCCAGCCTTTTGGGTTGTTACTGAATTGTTTTGAAAGAAATATTATAATTCTTTTCACTAAATAGCGGCAGTTAGATTTAGTACAATCATTACATATAATAAAATTGTAACAGCCGAATCTGTACATTAAATATTTTTTGGAAAATCTTATTGAAATAGGTATTATTATCGATACAGAGACCGAATCTAGTTTTTAAAAATTTTCTCTGTCTAACTGTCTATTACCGCATCACAAGAAAACCACTGGTCAGATTTTGATGAAATTTGGTATGATGATAGCTGGTTATCCGGGTCAACATAAAAAATACTTTTTACCGCGGGAAAATATCTCATTTCTGAGAAAAAATACAAAAACTGCAATGTAAGAGTATATTAGTATATAAAACCTAAGAATTTGGTTTTTGGTCACCTGAACGCGGGTGGAGCCGCGGGCAATGCTAGTACTATATAAATATAGTTATAAATTGTAGTTTTACATCACTATTTCTGGTATACGCTCGAAAGAGTTAGATTGAAATGGAAATATGAACAAAAACCCAACATTTTAAAATCATAAGATTAAAACGTTAACATTTTGTTGTTTTGTTTTTGCTAAGATATAGTTGAAGTGAGTCGGCGGTTTCCACTCCCGTTAATGAAATTCCCTGTAAATCTGGTAAAGAACGCGTCTTAAGCAGAAATACATTAAAATCTTTAATAGCTTCTGTTATCGAGTTACTCGGCTTTGTAGTTTTTGTAGAGATAAAATGAGTATTGATATATCTATGTTACTTGAACATTTTCGTGACACATGTCTGGTAAACAATAAATGTGATATGTTAGATAAATTAATCTAAAATTTAAACTAATATAAAATCTTGGCTTATATGCCCTTCCTGTCCTAGTGATGTACTTGGAAACTACAAATTCAGACAGCATTTTTGGAGAAAGAATTTTAGACGGTTAATACAATGATAGCAACTATAGAACCGGATATAGTCACAAACTTTTAACTAAATATAGAAAAAAATTAGTTAAGTAGAAAGTTATTTTAGTTATGTTAGCTAACAAAGTTTAAGCAAATTGTGAAACATGAAAATGTGCAAATAAATTAGTGATGTACTCGCAGAACCACTTAGACTTCTGCTGCTAACTTCATAAAGACAGTTTTCTGTTATTGTTTTCAAACATATTTTAGTACTACACATTAAGAGACTTGAACTGTCTACTGCACCGATGGTTACGTGTTCAATTCCAATTCCAAACTTGTATCAGCTATAGAGATGATTGTCAGGATAAAGTAGACAAATAGAAAAAAATATTGCACTATTCCTGTTGATGTAAAACAAATAAAGCATTTAAGCTATTATTTATAGTAAAAAGCTCTTTTAGAAGTTAGTGAAGTTGTTTTTATAATGCGAATTATATAACATAGCAATGGCCTTTGCTTCGGCTCACTAGACCAATTTAATATATTTTTTTTAAATACAACACCGCTAAAAAAATTAAACAAATATAATGTCTATCGAAGCTACAAACTATTTTAATAAACTACCACTTCGATCCGTTTCTGTACTGCTATATACGCTAACTAGAAGAGCTCGCGGCTTAAAAAAAATCTCTAAAAAGGTAGGTTTCATACAAACTTTCATCCCCTATGTTACCGCCTTATCGGATGAATTTCGAAAAATGCTAAAACACTAATTTATTTAATTGTATTGAAGAACATTAATACCAAGTTTCAAGTAATTCTGATGATAAATATTTTTTTGTGACATAGATTATAGAAATATTATGTAAAAGATGTGAAATTCAATTTCAAACAAGCATTTAATCTAACAGGTCAATACGAATATTTTCCTTGTAAGATAATCGAACTCGCGTCGACTGTCATAGAAGGCAGAGCCATTTTTTATTTAACTTTATGTTGAATAGTACTTATTTTGAACTGAAAATTTTAAACCGGGAAAGCTAAGAATTCCTTCATTACTCACTTAGTTTATTTAATAAGTACTGAAAGTATCCTTTTGAATATAAATGAGAAGCACAAAGACAATACCGTATTTATGAAAATGCCAATGTTTATAGTTCCTCAGTTAAAGTTATTTTGCTGGTTTTTAACTGTAAGAGTAGAGAAAACCACACGCGTAAAGCATGTGGGTTTCTCTTGAAGTGCAAATTTTACTTTCAACTGGAACTAGATATCCTGTTTTATTTACAAACTAGCATTGCCCGCGGCTCCGCCCGCTTTATAGTAGGTTATGTTTTAGCTCTTCAAATCAACTTGAATAAAAATAAATTGTATTTTTAAAATATGCTTTGCACTATCATTTGTTAGAAATTGTGTATCTATACATATAGTAAAATTGTAACTAAGCCGAATCTGTACATTAAATATTTTTTGGAAAATCTTATTGAAATAAACATTATTATCGATACAGAGGCCGAATCTATAGTTTTTAGAATTTTTTGTCTGTCTGTCTGTTACCGCATCACAGAAAAACCACTGGAGGGATTTCGATGAAATTTGGCATGGTGATAGCTGCTTATCCGGTTCAACATATAGGATACTTTTTACCGCGGGAAAATATCTCATTTCTGAGATAAAATACAAAAGCTGCAATGTAATATAAAAAAAGAGTATACTAATATGTAAAACCTAACAATTTGGTTTTTGGTCATCTAAACGCGGGCGGAGCCGCGGGCAATGCTAGTTTATTAATAAAGCTGTCATTCTTATGGTCGATCCTATTCCTATAGCTCTAAAATTAGTATTGACTAAGAAGTTTGATTAACTAACGAAAACTACACATCGAAGCATGTCTATTCACACCTTTATTTGATAGAATCAACAAGTGTTTTAATATTATAAAACAAAATTTGTTTTTTTTTTAAAAGAAAAAATAATTTATGCATACGTAATTAATAAATATGTAACTATTATAAATAAAAAAATTTGATAGAAAATCTCTAATTGTATGAAAAAAATGTGTTTATAAATACTTAAGAATCAATTTTTATGTATATATTAAGTGAAACTGTAGTGCAAGTACCGTCTGAGCTTGTACTTTAGTTAGAACCATCACTATATCGAGTGTACGTGATTTTTTTATTTGAAAAAAGTATATTTCCCTGGAGACCTTGAATAAACGTCCAGATTGAATGATGAACGTTAAAATGTTGTTAGAAAAAGAAAGTTTCTTATGATGAATATTTTATAAATATTTAAGTTTTAGTAACTTAATAGAAGAGTTAAAAGATTTTCTTTGAAGTAGTAAATATAGAAATTTTGACAGAATTTTTTTTATGCTTTTTTCTTTCGATTTTTAAAAAGTATTTTTGCTATATTAAAACTATTTAATTATAACTCTATCCTCAAAAAAGGTTTATTAGACGTTTTTAATATATGAAATGATTGAAAAATTTAAAAATTATAAATATATTTTAAATTTTACTATGAAATAAAATATTAAATTTAAAATCCGTACAAACTTTTAAGTTTAAAAACTCGGTTTAAAAAATAATTCTTTTACAGTATAAAGACTAAAAACCTAAAATAAACTTTTCCAAAGTAAACTTACCCGAAAGCCATTGCTACGAGGTTGCTACGAGTTTACGGTGCTACGAAGATCAGTGCTACGGCACAAGTGGCGATGTAAGTTCTACGCGCGCCTTATATTGGATGGCCGGGAACGCCCCACGCGCCGCCCAATGCATCGATGGGATGATTTTAATCATTTTTTTGTAGTTTTTTTCCTATGAACTACCAATTTACTTTGATTTTTCTTGCTATTGAAAATATTTTTGTTTAATTTTTGGGATTAATAAATATTCACAGACAGAATTTCTGTTAGAATTATTTGAAATAAATACTTTAGTATGGCATTAGTATAGAATTATAGGTAGTATATATGTACATATATTTGGTATAGTTACCTTTTTAAATAACAGTTATTCATACGGCTCATATATAGAAAACATTAGTTAATTTTGATTTTGTCCCTCTATCTGTTTGTTTAGGCTGTTTCTTTGAAAACGGTGAATTTTTACGGTTTCATAAGCAATTATGTTTAGATTAAAATACAATAAGTAATAATCCGTGGACCAAAGGAGGGTGTAGAATATTTTATTTTTTAATATAAATCTACTATCTAACTATATAATGTATACTAATAATATATTCTTTAATAATAGTAGAACTTAATTTCAATTTTCCCTTTGACTAAAAATAAAATTAAACTATCTTTTCGGATTTTTTGCGGATTTATTTAGATTTTTGGTTCCTGACGCTCCGAATGCTTTACAGCAATCACGGTCACGGAAGAGACCATGGTCCCGTCAAAAAATCCAAAAAGATAGTTTTAATTAAAATGTCAAATATTCGCGTAAATATAAGAAAGTCTCTTAAGTCCGTCAGAAATAGGTCTCTGGAAAAAAAATTTGAAATGGGAAATTTATATCTTGCACGTGTTAATATTATTATTTACGTATTTGTAATAAAATTTATATTAATATGTTGTTCGCAGAATTCGACAATCGCATGTGTAGTAAAATCAATCATTTCATTGGTCGTAAAGCAGTTTGACTCCATATAAAACTCATTCTCTTAATATTTTTGAGGTTCATTCTTCATTTAATAAATATGGGGCAGTAGATTAGTAATTAATCGATTTATGATATAAGCTTAGATGTTTAATTCCAGAATCTCCTTTTAACCTGTAAAATTTTGATTTAAAACAGGTGATACTAATTTTATCAAAGAGGTTCATGTTTGGGCCTAGTTTATACGAAAAAAAGTAATGACAGAAAAAAAAATATTTTACGTGAAACCAACATCACAATATAATTTATTTATAAAATCTAAAATTTTATCCTCGAATATGAAAAAATATTTCTTGAAGTATGTGTATGTATGTATGGATATATAAATGTATGTAATATGTGTGTATGTAAGTATCTATGTAAATATGTATGAATGTATATATGTACGTATGTATGTATGTTTGTATATGTGTATATTTATATTATAATTGATGTTTGTAGTTTGTACCTACACCGCACCGCATTATTATTTTATATTTTCTCACGCTTGAGGGTTTCTGGTAGAGATCTCTTAAAGAGATAAGTCATCCTTTGTACACATGGTATCTGTTTTCACTTGTATGGTTTATTTCTGGTACATAAATAAAAAAATGTCAAAACATGTTAACGTGTTGATGTTCTAAAAAATAAAACGGAAACTCACCAAAAATATTTTTTATCAGAATTGATTGATGATTGCAAGACATATTGTTAAAATATATTATTTCTAATAAAACCCTATCTATGTTCTTTCGGGCCAGTCTATTTTGTATAAATTTTTAAAACTAAAACTAAGGCAGCTTTAAAGTTAAAACTGATTTTTTATGTAATATATGACGCTTATTTTATTATATGTGTAGATATAATAAATATCTAATATATATACATATATTAAATTCTGCGACGAATCTGTACATTTTTTTTTTCTAATCTTACTTAAAAGGTCATCATTATCGATAGAGAGACTGAATCAATAGTTTTTAGAACTTTTGTCTGTTGTCTGTCTGTCTGTCTGGGAACGCATCACGAGAAACTCACTGAACAGATTTTGATGAAATTTGGTATGATGATAGCTGCTTGGTTATCCGGGTCAATATATAGGATACTTTTTACTGTAGGCAAATAGCTTATTTCTGAGAAAATTATACTAACCGTTCAAACGTACTAGGGACGAAGTGAGTCGCTAGTCTCGTAATATAAGGCGAAAAATGTGTTTAGCTACGTCGTATTTACTATACTCGTATATGATATTTCTATACTTTATTTTTCTATTGACAATCGTGTTTGTAGAAGAAAGAAGGAAAAAACCACATTATTTATAACTGGCTTACATTTATATATAAAATCAAACATTTTTACATATTTTTTTGTTTTTACTTTTCCATACTTTCATATGATTTGTTACTCAAAATGATGTAAAATACTTTTATTATATCCTTGATAAGATAATGTACGTATAAATTGATGCGAAGCTTTTTCATTGTAAATACCTCCAAAAGGCTTAATATACAAAAAAAGTAAGAGTAAGCTTATACTAAAAGTTGTCGAACATAAAAGCTTATTTAAATTCAATAACAATCTAGTTTTATTAATGCAATAATTATATGTTTCTTGAACGCTGAAACGGCTGGATGGATTTGGATCAATTTTTGTACACAGATAAACTATGAGCTGTATTAGTACATAGGCTACTATTAGTAATAGTAATATAAAATATAGTAATATTAAAAATACAAAATGTCTTGAGACATACCCGAAGAAAGCAAGGATAAGTCGTTAGATGTTAATATTTAAGACTAGCGACTCACCCTCGGGTTCGTCTCTACTTACGTTTTAACATTTAGTATAGATTTCTCAGCGATGAAATATGTTTGCAGTAAAAAGTATCCTATGTGTTGACCGAATAACCAGTTTTTATCATATCAAATTTCATCAAAATGACTCTATTGGTTTTTACGTGATGCAATCACAGACAGACAGACAAAAATTCTAAAAACTATAGTTTCGGCCTCTGTATCGATAATAATATATATTTCAATAAGATTTTCCAAAAAATATTTAATGTACAAATTAGGCTCAGTTAGAATTTTATTATATGTATAGATAATTAAATTAAATTATTAAAACAAATACAAATCACGGACCTCAAGCGAGCTATCCAATAAAGTGTAAATAATACGGCATGATTGCACGAAGTCAATTCTGTCTGCTCCTGACACCCATTTGTTCTCATTTGCACTCATTTTGAAGCAACCTTTGCTATTTGTAGGGATTCGTTGATTTCCCTAGCTATATTTACGTTACTGCTACTTACATTTATTCACTGCCTCGGTGGTGTAGTGGTTAGCATGTACGGCTGCACACTCGGAGGTCCTGGGTTCGAGTCCCGGGTCGGGCCAACTTTAGTTATTGAGTCTTTCTGTATAGTAAGTCTCAGTAACAGCCCGGAGTTGGGAAGTTGGCGGTGTTTCACCCCCGTGCCTCGGAGAGTATGTAAGGCCGTCAGTCCTGCGCCTTAACTCTCACTGGTCGTGTCGAGCAGTCGTCCCACCGGAGTATGAGAGTGACAGGAATAGAGAGTGCACGTTGTGTCTGCGCGTACACTTGTGCACTATAATATCTCCTGCGCAGTTGACTAGTCTCAATGAGATTGGCCGCCGTCGCCGGGATCGGCTAAGAGAACATCATCATCATCACTTATATTTACATGTGGCTTAGATAGCAGAAGACGTAGCCTGTTCTAATACGTTTTATAAGATAAATCGTCAGTGTATTTATTCTGTAGAGTCAGATTATAGAGAAATTAGATATATTTATATGGATAATTTTAAATAAATTTATTTTGAATTTTGGTTCCCAAATTCTCTATACATTGGGTATTTTTTGGAATCTTATTGAAATAAACATTTTTATCGACATATAGGCTGAATTTATAGTTTTTAGAGTTTTTGTCTATCTGTCTGTCTGTTACCGCATCACAGAAAAACGACTTGAGGGATTTTGATTAAATTTGGTATGGTGATAGCTGGCTATCCGTGTCAACATATAGGATACTTTTTACTGTGGGAAAATATTTCATTTCTGAGAAAAAATACAAAAACTGCATTGTAAGAGTATACTAATATCTAAAACCTAAGAATTTGGTTTTTGGTAATCTGAATAATGCTAGTATATTATATAATATTGAATAACCTTAAGTAATATATTTCTGATGGAATATGCTTTGTAATTTGGCTTTCTTTACATTTCTTATATGTATTCAAATAATCTGACATATTTCAGACAGGTAAAATAACGTTTACGATGAGAAAACGTGGGGTACAAAATAAAATCAATCTAGTTCGAGTCGCTTTCGAGCACCGAGGGTTCCGTATCAAGACAATTTAATTATGATATGAGTTTATCAAAAAATAGTCCCAGCTTATTTCCACTTGTCTAATTTATACATCCTAAGGTTTTTAGTGTGTTATTTAAAGCCTACGTTCCAAAATATAAAAGCTACAATATATATATATAATAAATGATGATGATATTTTATAATATTTTATTCATACGAGTATGTGAATGATATTCCTTTTATGCATAGCAATGTGAACTGTATATAATGTTGCCAAAGAAATAGAGTTAAAGTTAAAAAAATATAGGTATCCATACTTACTAATATTATAAATGTGAAAGTATGTTTGTTTGTTTGTCATTTTTCCGCGTCAAAACAGAGTGACGGATTGGCATGATTTTTTGTGTGGTGGTAGTTGGAGGGCTGGAGAGTGACATAGGTTACATTTTACCGAGGGAGATTATCTCATTCCTAAAATTTCTAATGCATACAATACAACCCAAAAAAATATTTGTGATTAGAATTATTTGAAAATTGGTATTATTAATCAATACAATTAAATAAATACATGTTTTATAATTTTTCAAAATTCATCCCATAACTGGGTAAAATGTGGATGAAATTTTGTATGAAACCAACATTTTTAGAGTTTCTTTTTGTAGGTAGTTTTAGCG